CGGGCTTGTCGTGCCGTCGGTCATGCTGATGTTGTCTGGGGGTAGCCCACCTATGCGTCTGCTTCTTCAAAGGTTTTTTGTAGGCTTGTGCGAGTATTGTAAATGCTTCGAATATTCGAACGAATAGTAGAGTATTTGAATTAGCTTCGATTCGAATTTCAATTATTAAATATTTCGAAGTATCGATATGAACGAATAGTTCTATAATAATCCACATGTGATTGCCTGTAAGGGTTGTTTCACTGCAGTGTAGGGATGTTAAACCGTGAAAGCGTTTTTGCAGGGGAAGTTTGCTCTGCTGCGAAGCTTCACTTCAAATTTAAAGGGGCCCTGCAACACTGATTAAGCATGGCCAGAAAACACTGCAGATCTGTAGTCGAGGCTACGGAGAACATTTGAGCCTAATATTATAGCGCAGCACTTCACCTGGAATTCACAATAAATTCTCAGTCGGATCAAAATTGCTCTCTTCTCTCGGCAAATGACGCCTCTATGTCAAAAATCGTTTGTCACAGCCATTGTGTACCAGCCATTGGCTGATTTGAGCATGGGGCGCTCGTTCACTATTGGGGCCACTGCGGGTGACCGCGACCTGTCCACGCATGCATGCGCGATCGCAGTGAAAAGCCACGCAATCTAAGAAAAAGAAAAAAAAAAGAATGCTGAAGGTCACGACTCGCACGTGTCGTATTTACTTTCCGAATGCCGTCTCTGCCGGCTTTGCTTCAAGCACTTTCATTGAGACAAGAAGAGAGAATGCAATTGTAGCATGTGGCAAATCGCAAAACTTCGCTCATACTGGACAGATTCTAAAAGCTTTTGCAGCGGCTAATTCGTGAGGCAATAAGCTTATTTAGTGAATTCATTCCATGGCTACTTGGATAGCTGTTGAAAAACCCTTAGAATGAGCATATTTTTCTCAAATTGATTGATCATTTTTTTAAGCGTAAAAGCTTTGCCGACTTATAAACGCTAAACTGCAATGAATTATGTCATGTATTTTGCAGGTTATCACTTGAATCTAACTGAAAACTAAATTTTGCTACTTCTTGAAGTTGTTTTGACTTTCTTTAACGGGAAATAAAAGACAGCACTTGCATAGAAGCCTTATTTTAATTTAAAAAATATTCATCAGGTTAGTTAGGTCATGATAAATATGACGATTTTTCTTTATACATCATATAGTCTATTCAAATTCAATTTGAAATTATTCGACCAAAATCACTAGTCGCTCCGAATTCGCTTTGAAGCTAAAATTCACTATTCGCACCAGCCTAGTTTTTTGCTACGCTGTCCAGGATGGCGAATTACCGAGCACGGCTGCCACCAAAAATGTTACAAATGTGATGGGTTTATTTACACATTAAAGTCAGCGCTCAACCGACGTTGCCGAATGGCCCTCGCTCGACCCCGTTCTTCCTTCTTCTTTTTTTGCGCTCTTTCAGTTTGCGTTACAATTTTTACAGGTCATCACTTGCATTCTACTAAAAGTCAAATCCTGCTACTATTCAAAGTTGTGTCCACTTCCATTCAAGCAAAAGAAAAAAAAAAATGGAATTTGCACAGGCCTGGTTTCAATTTTTAACAAAACATTGTGCAGCTAAGGTCATGAAAAACGTGCCCAAATTTCTTTATGTGTGTTATGTACTTTTCGAATTTGATTTGAAATTATTCAACGAAAGTCACTATTCACTTAGAATTTGCTTTGAACTTGAAATTCACTATTCGCACAAGCCTCACATAATGTTAGCTGCCCTTCTGTGGGCCTTTGGTTCTCTGACAATTTTGCCAGTGTCTTTATTTTCAGTTGAAGCCAAGTCATTGTTCTTAGATCCAGATAACTCCATGTAATTGGTGTATTTGCTCGCATAATTTATGCACTTTTTTTCTGCAATTTTGGATCTCTGAAAGGTGAGTGCACAAATAGTGTGTATGCATTCCAAACAATGTGCAATAGCAGAGAGTTTTAGCAAGTTGTGTAAATACGGTAAGGCAGCATTCCTCCTTTCTCGCACGCTGTGCTCTTGCCTCTCCTTGAACAACAGGTTCCTCATTAACAATGTAAAGCGACAGTGAGGCGTAACAACCCCGCAGTAATTTTGTAATAGCTTCTGTGGCACTGGGGTGCCTTTACTGGCAAAAGGCCGACAACCCCGAAAGGAAGAGCGAGGTAGTTCTATGGGAGTATATTAGCGTATCGTATTTCTGTACTTTGCTAAAATTCTGTAGTATGTAGTTATAACGTGAAGTAGTATATAGTCGTAAATATGTTATATTTAACAACAGTTTCGTTTACCGAGAGATGAACAGGGGTGTGGATTGTGAGTGCGAAACCAACCATGTCAGAAGCAGTTGTTTCATTTAAGCAGTTGTTTCACTTAAGCAGCAGTTCCTTTTAACAGGTTTCCATATACTAAGACTCTACTGCTCCTCAAAAAACATAAATTGGAGCACAAACGAAGTGTGCTTGTTTATTTGACAGAATTGACATTTTAACCAGCCAGATCTGATCATGCACAGTCTAGTCCGAATCACAGGCCGAATAATTCGATTGGGAATGATTGCGGCTGCTGCCACTGCTCTTCAAAAGTGCGTCGTCCTCACTTCTGTCAAGTGGTTTCGAAAGTCCCATTTTTTTGGAGCTGTTCTTAACAATGCTGGGAGAAACGATACGGCAATACCAGAGGACCTAAGCTTTGGCACATAATTGAGAATATCTTCTTCAACAGCAGGAAACTTGTATCAGCAGGCGCACACTCTTTTGCTCTCTCTTGTGCCAAACATTGTCACACCTTGAACTTCATGTTGAAGTGCTTGGTAGTGGCATGGTTCCTGTTTTTTTCCCGCAAACTTTTTATTAGTGAGCTTGAGTTTTGCCATATATACAGTCGAACCTCGATATATCGAACGGCGCGGCGATCGCCAAATAGTTCGATATATCCAGAATTCGATGTAAAAAAATCACGAAAAAAATGCATCAACAGCTTGCTGAAAACAACCAACGAACCGTTCAAGCGTGGTGCAGTAAATACTCACTTGAAGATTCAAACATAGTATTTATTGTGTTGGTTTAAAATATTGAAAAAGAGTAGCCTGCTTTTTGTTGGCCATGGTGTGTTTGACGACTGCGTCCTCAATATAGTCCAGGCGATCCATAAGAGATAGGCCGGTGCCTTCAATCGCGCCGCACTGGCGGCGCACAAGGGCCAAGGCAGCTACGACCTCAGCTGATGTCTGGAGCGGGGCACCATCAGCGCTTGCGGAATCTACCTCGGCAGAGTCTTCATTTGGCTGCTCAGGAGTAGCTTCGGCGACAATCTCCACATCCGTGAGCTCCGCCGTTCGTGTTAGGCCTGTCGCGCACCACAGCGCGCGACAGGCCTAACTCCGAACGCAGGAACACTGCGAGCACTACGACCGATGCCTGCCGATGCTACGGGGGAGGAGCTTGCAACAAGTGCGCAGTGTGCCGTTGACACCTTAGAGACTGCAACGACTGCTAGCTGCAAGGCTGCGGCGTGAGTCCGGGTGTAAAGCGCGCACATGGCGCGCCCATGCCGGCTCGCCTGACTGCTTTCCTTTTCCCGGCGGCAGCGCGGGCCACGTCCGAGACAGTCGTCTGCGTCCTTTCCCTCCTATACTTTCCTCCTTAATCTTTACCTCTCACTCTCCCTTCCCCCGCGCGAAGCCATGTCGGAGCCTTTGTATTGAAAGACGATAACAGCTCCGCGCTTTTCTCTTCTCTTTCCTCATTTAAGAACCTCTATCGCAAGGCTGCGGCGCGCGTACGCCGCTACGTTAAAGTGGCGCTCTCGGCGCCATCGATGTGTGCAGCATTTGTAAACACCCGCCGCTCTACCGCTACTTTCGAGAGTTGCAGGAAAGCTCGCCGCCTGTCAACGGAGCGTGGGCGGTTTGGGGTGGCTGAGTTCGATATATCTATTATATGTCAAACTTTGTACGAAATAAAAAAAATCAATAATGCATGTGATTTCCCGCGTGATATTGGAACCGTTCGATATAGGCAATAATTCGATATATCCGTGTTCGATATATTGAGGTTTGACTGTAATTATTGTAGCCGATCGCAAGAGAACTGTATAAGCACGACTGATGGATGGCAAAATCTGGACTTCCGAAGTGAATAAAGCCTGCATCTCATTGTTGACACAGAAAATGAGGAAAGCAGTTGGTGCGAGAGGCTTCCCCTGGAGGAACTCACTTTTTGTGGGTGCCATGGTGTCAATGCATTTTAACACCCATACCTCACGGAATCTGTGCTCTTGCCGTCGTTTTACGTAGAACCTTCGACAACGAGTTCCAATTGCTTGTATTCCAGTAAGGTCATTTTGCTTGGAGGAGATGACAGCCTAAGAAATATTTCTGAATAACTTCCATCAAAGACTTGGTCGGGAGGAGCTCAAGGCACCCCCTGCATAATTCGGCGCTCTGATCAATAACTACTGAAATGGTGTAGAAGCGATACTACTTTGGAATACCTGTGAGTAGACGTGAGTAGCATAAACATAAATCCAGGCAAGGCTGACAGTAATGCTGAAGAAAACTAGATAGGACTTTTGGTTGACAAAAGAAAGTGGAACTCACTCAGACTCACACAAGAAATATATCTTGCGCTTTGAACTCATTCGGAGTCAGACTCGCCAAAATTTTTCCTAAGCCAAACTCACTCGGACTCACACTCACGAAAATTTTCTTGAACTGGACTCACTCGGACTCAACTCACGAAAATATTACTCACTTGTATTCACTCAGACGAACAGCTACATCTGAGTTTGGGCAAGTCCGAGTGAGTCTACTCATGAGTGAGTTTGCCGACCTATGCTGTCGACTACGGTTTGGTATTTACCAGAAGTAGCAAGCTTTGTTTAAAACATTGAAATAGTGCAATATTTGCTGATACTCTGTTGTGGTATAGTAGGTGGGTAGCGTTCAGCTTTTCTGTCCAGCCAAAGCGTAATGCTGTGCCCACATGCTTGCAGGTTCCTGCAGTGTCACCCATTTGATGATGACTCCTTTTGGAAGCAGTGGGTCAAGGAGAACCCTGGTGAGGAACACTTGCCTGAGGATTTAAGATTCCCAATGATGCTGATGTGCTTACTTGAACGTGGCTGTCAGAAGATAAGAAGCATGTGTGTCTGCATTTATCTCTATTGCAGGGGTGCAACAGCTGCGCCAATTTTACACAATTTACGATTGTTGCACTGAGCTGCGCCAAAACCGTGAAATTTGCTGATATTGTGTCACGTTGCGCCAAAATGCCCTGCCAGGTTCAAAAGTTTCCCAAGTGCACTAATTTCGGCGAGAAATGCAGGCCACATCAGCCACCTACAGTCTGGGCCATCCGTCAAAGCACGCAGTCTCCAACTATAGTACCTAGAATGTACTTAAAGTATGACCAGATAAAGTAACAACGCTGCACATCCATTGGCCCATTGCCCGAAGCGGATACCTATAAACGGGACAAGGAAACTTCACGACAAAAATGCATTGCTGTAGCGACCACCGCTTTGCGGTAAATCTAAATTTCTTAGCCTGAAAATGCGGGTACGGTTTGTTAGGAACTAAAGGTAGAAGCGTATGCCACGTTTTTCTTGCGTGAACAAGCTTGACGTGCTGCGAACGTCGGCGTTGCCAGCGACCGCGTCGATTGCGTTAGCAGTGGCACATGAAACATTCTTTTTTTCTTTTTTTTTAAGTTGCGTCTTCCGGACTACGGTCCTGGTCGTAGATATGCAGTACCGTAGCGGGGCCAGCCAGCGTGCATTGTTGTCACTTTACCTGGTCGAATTCGCTTTTGCAAGGGAGCTAAAGCTGCACCTACACCCCAGCCTGTGAAAGAATGTGTAGCGTACTCGCCCCACGGAGGCGCGAAAAGAAGGCACCTACACTCCTTGAAGTTTGGGACAAGACTAGTTTATTTTCCAAGAAAAACAGGCTTCGAAAGCGACAACCAAAAGGGGCGTGGCTGCGTATCTTTCGCGGCCCTCCGGAGATAACGTGAGGCATGTTGGCCGCGTCTGCGCCGTGCACCTCGGCATACGAATAGGTATGCGCACACAAATAAAATTATCGCGATCACTGGCGTCATCGCCCGCTACAAATGAATAAACGGGAGAGGGGGGAGATGTAGCTATTAGAAAATTTCTTGGCTTTAGTTCTAACCAGTGCAGAGAATGCTGCTTAGGGCACCTTAGCTGCAGTACATCGGTGCCCAGCGGAAAAGCGCATCGAGATTTGGAAGAGGCTGTTAGCGCTATTCCTGGAACACTGCACATTTTGCTAGATTACTCATTCGTTAGTATGCCGTACAATTCTGAGTACCAGTATAATAACTGACGTCTAAATAAGCTATTGGCAATCTAATGGAGCTGTGTATGAGATTTTTGCTTCCCTAAACTAAATTAAGCACCTGTTTTTTTTTTTTTTTTCGCCACCCTTACTCCTTTTATGAATCTCGCAAATTTCAAGGTCACGAGCTTGACAGATTCATATTTAAATTTGTAGTCTGTCAAATGATTTGACAGGTGCAGCAAATGCTAATATGGACTTGATCACTGTTTGCTCCGTGGGATGGTTCAAAATACTACTTTCATTCAAAAAGCAGTGCTCATGTTCACACTGCACGATTTAGGTGATGTTGAATGATTTATATGTACATTTTTTTGCAAAATGTAAGCCTTTTTTTTTTATACTGATCCAAATTTAGTATTTCATGATAAAAAATGTACAATTTTTTTCCTGTAACGTCCTCCAAGTTTGGATTTTAGTGCTCCAAAAATAACATTTTGCTGCTACAAAAATGGCACCAAACTGTATTTCGGTTGTTGCACCCCTGATACTACAAAAAGATCTCCAAAAGTAACATTTTGCTGCTCCAAAAATTGCTCCAGATTGTATTTTAGCTGTTGCACTCCTGGTATTGCAATAAGATCTCATTTGTTTATTTTGGGAAGGAAGGGAAGAAGTGTTTAACTTCTTTAAACATCACATTGATGAAAAACAAATTGTAAGCAGCTATCCGAAGCACTAGCATATTTATTGAATATGTTCACTGCCTTACTTTTTCAATTCTTGAAATGTGCACACAAATTGCAATTTTTGTCAATAAAAATTGGGCACTAATAGCAGCAAGCTTTCTGTGGTATCCTTTGCCCTGTAGTTGCAACAGCAGTGCGACATGTGCATTTTAATACAACAGCTGTTCTTCTTTTCAGTAAGCACGTATCTTCTGATTTCAGTTGATGTTGTATATTTTTGAACACTATAGGGATTGTGAAGGTGCTAGAAATGTATTATCTGAAGGGGGGGACGGCGTGTACCTACTTTTAAAGGCTGAAGTCACCACAGCCTTTTCTTAGGGGACTTTGATGACTAGGCCTGTGTGAATATTTGAATGCTTCGAATATTCGAACTAATAGTAGAGTATTCGAATTCGAATACTGGGAAATTTCAAAGTATTCACAATGAATGCATAAATGTATAATATTAGTCTGCATATAACCGCTTGTAAAGATGGCTTCACTGCAGTGTAGGATGTGCTAAACCGTGAAAGCACCTGTCCAGGGGAAATTCGCTCTGTTGCAAAGTTTTATTTCGTATTTAAAGGGGCCCTGCAACACTTCTTTAGCATGGTCATAAAATGATTCTAATTGGTGGTTGAGGCTACCGAGAACATGTGAGCTAAATATTATTGTGCAGTAAGTGGCCTGCAATTTACAATAAATTTTCGAAGTCAGCTAAAAGTTAATTGCTCTCTTCTGTGGGCAAAAGACACCAGAAGCTCAAAAATAACACGTCACAGCTGTTTTATAAGCCATTGGCTTATTTTAGCATAGCGTGCTTGGTCATTACTGAGGCCACCACTTGTACACGCGTATGTGCACGATCTCGCTGAAAAGCCCCGTATTTGGGGAAAAAAAAAGAGAAAGAAAGTGCTCAAGGATCACGAGGTGCGCATGATCTATTTTCTTTCCCTCAAGCCAACATTCTCTGCTTAGCTTCCAACGCTTTTGCTGGGACAAGAAGAGAGAATTCAGCCCAGCCGCGGTGGTCTAGTGGCTAAGGTACTTGGCTGCTGACCCGGAGGTAGCGGGTTCGAATTCCAGCTGCGGCGGCTGTATTTCCGATGGAGGCGGAAATGTTGTACGCCTGTGTACTCAGATTTGGGAGCACATTAAAGAACCCCAGGTGGTCGAAATTTCCGGAGCCCTTCACTACGGCGTCTCTCGTAATGATATGGTCGTTTTGGGACGTTAAACCCCACATATCAATCAAGAAGAGAGAATGCAATTACAGTGTGTGATAAATCTTTGCACCTCTGCTTGTACTGGGCAGATTCTAAAAACTTTCGCGCCGGGGAATTCATGAAGCAAAAGGCTTCTTTAGTGAACCTATTCCATGACTACTTGAAAAAATGTTGCAGGGCTTCTTTAAATAAACATACATTTGAATGTAATTTATTCAAATACGCCTAATTCGAACTTCCGGTTAATTCGAACTCTTAATGAGGTCCTGTCAAAGCTACGTGTACAGTCGAACCCCGCTACAACGAAACTGAAGGGGCGCGGAAAAAAATTTCGTTAAAGCGAAAATTCGTTGCACTGAAATCGAAAAATTATAGCCGATCTGAACTAACAAAACAAAGTAACGTTTATTCTCAAAATTCAAAAAGTGTCTGCTGCTTTTCATTTTATCCCAGCAGCGTCACGCCGCGATTCTCACCCATGCATAGCGAGGCCGTGGTGAAAAGCACGCTGAAACAATGACTACAACCTCGTTCGTTAACGAACTAAACAGTTGCATTAACACGTCAACACCAGCAGTTGTCCGCCGTCAAAACGCCGAGATGGCAGCAGGTTATCGTGGAGCCGTGACTTTCGTCTTATTTTATTCCATTCTTAACATGCATGCAGAGGAACAGCCGCTCTGATTATTTACTGACCAAGCGCGAATAAATGATAACCATTGGAATCAGAAAAGGCATCATTCCACAGATGCACTCAGCAGCTGCGTGAAAGAAACTATGAACTAAGCCACTGAGCTTCAGCTTCGGATCGTCTGCGGTTATACAGTAAACCCAATTTTTAACATTTGGATGCATTTTCAGAAACTGAAAATACGTCGATGAAGTCTAAAAAACGCGTTGACACCACCAGAAACTACTGCTGTCAAGCAAGCATTGGCGCCGCCATTGCTTGATAGTGATGGCAATGAGGCTGCCCTCCTTTTGGCAAAGCAGGGCAGTCTCGTTGCCATGGCTATCGAGCAATGGCGGTGCCCATGCTTCATGAACAGCAGTGGTAGGCGGCTAAAATGAGAACGTGTCAAAATCAAGCCGTGTTTCCCTTGCCGAGCGGTGCCGCGGTGCGCGCAATCGCCGCTAGGTCGTAATTTAGCGCGGCGATCGGAGGCCCTGCTGCTAGCTCGGCTACTAGCGGGACGGAGCCGACTGCAGGTGCAGCGTAGGCCGGGGGAGGCTGCTGGTCACTCGCTGCAAGTGCTCCTCAGCATCGTTTGTGTTCCATGTGGTGCGACGACTTTGTTGTGTTTGCCCTTAAAAAATTAAAGGGCGCCTACAAAGAAAAAAAAAACCAATGTGGTCTTGTTTTAGGCCTGGGATTGGAATCTAAGGGGACTTCTGTATTCGTCAGAGTCTCTGTAACACCTGGTAGAGACTATGGAAGCCAAGTTGACACATGTGTTTAGCACGGTGCACCTGCATACGAATTTAGTAGCCAGTTTTCTATGATCTCTAAACAGTTTCCAGAAATTGGCTGCATTGAACATTGCAAATAGTTAAACAAAGCAGTGGGCAAATTATTTTGGCAGTGGGTCAGATTATTTTGCGTGACGAGTTTTTTTTTTTGAAGGGTCTGAACCAAGCAAAAAGCGAGAAAAAAGTCAAGCGATTGAGGCCCTGTGTCACGTAAAAAAAAAATGTCCGTTAGTGACTTACCATAATAAATTTTGTTGCAGCCATAAAACTAAGTGTTGTCTCAGTTTCTACTCATGTTTCAGAATACTGCTTCAAGTGTAATACAAGTC